GGCGTGCATCGACGCTTCGAATACAAATATTCATTTAAGCCCCCATATTTGGCTCAGAAGGATGGCACTGTGCCCTTCTGGGAGTACGGAGGCAGTAAGTACACCAACACAAATAAATTGACAGCTTCTACTGCTGGCAGTGGTTTAGCAACTTAGGCGACACGTCAGCTGTGGGGCCTTTGGGTCGCACAAGTTGGAGCGCCGCACAGTATGTGGCACATGAAGATGCGGTTAAATTCGATTTAGTCCCAGAAGTTAAAGCTAAACTGTATAATTTTTTTCGTTTGTTAGGGTGTGAGGTTAATGTAGATAATCGTATTCATTAAACAAATTTACAGATGCGATTGCCAGTTCGGAGAGCGTACGCGTGGCACCGTCAATGCGTTCACAAAAGGGTGCAATCTGGACGAAGTCACCAACGAACTTTGACTGGTGGGACGTAGAGATTGTCTTCCGGGTATCTGGTCGTGGTCGTATTGGCGCCGATGGTCTGGCATTCTGGTACACCACAGAAAAAGGAGATTATAATGGCGCTGTATTTGGTTCCTCCGATCGTTGGAATGGTCTGGGCCTATTTTTCGACTCCTTTGATAATGATAATAAACATAATAACCCATATATTATGGCTGTGGTAAACGATGGAACTAAGGCATTCGACCATCAAAACGATGGCACCACACAACTACTGTCTGGATGCCTGCGAGATTTCCGCAATAAGCCTTTCCCGACACGCGCTCGCATTGAATATTACAATAATGTATTAACAGTGTTGTTCCACAATGGTATGACCAATAATAACGAGGATTATGAGATGTGTCTTCGAGCTGATGGTGTCCAACTACCCAAAAATGGTTTCTTTGGAATTTCGGCTGCGACCGGAGGTCTAGCGGACGATCATGACGTCTTCCACTTCCTAACTTCATCTCTACATCCGCCCGGTCAAGTTCCATCAGATCCTGTGAAAGTTCCAGAGAACTCGGAAAAGCTGACACAGGAATACAAGGAATACCAGGAGAAGTTGGACAAACAGAAGCAGGAGTATAAGAAGGAGCATCCTGATGAGGTACGTCAGCGACGGGTTGACATAGTGGTGACATTTTAAACGATTTTCTATGAAAGAAAAAACTACATAAAAATTTCTTAAACTATGTATGTATTTTATTCAGGTCAAAGATGATGATGAGTGGGAAGAGTTCTTTGAGTCAGAAAATCAACGTGAACTGCGTCAAATATGGCAAGGTCAAAGTCAAATTTTCGAGCAATTGCGGGATTTGTCTCGTAAAGTAGACGAAGTAATAGGCCGCCAAGAGAATACTCTGTCTTTGGTATCAAGAAATGCGGGTGCTGCAGTTCAACAACAAGTGGGTGCACCAGGAAGCGCCGGCGCACCACCTGTTGCCACAGGCACGGTGAGTGGAACCATCACAAGACCAGAAGTCGATCTCGTTGTGGCGAACCAAAACGCACTGCTGGCAACTGCTCGCGAGATTCGTACACTAATTGGAGAGATTCAAGCACGTGCCGACACAATTATCAAAAACCAACAACGTGCGCCCACAGCTCAAGTGCAAGCGGCTGGTTATGATATTCAGTCCGTTATCGCTGAGATGCGAGACGGTATGAATCAAGTGAAACAGGGTATGGCACATGTTGGACAAAAGTGAGTAGAGCCCATATATATTACGATATAATTTCACCATGCCATATATATTCTTCTTTGATTTTTCGTTTTTGTGACATAAACTTTAAAATTTTTTATATGTTTACTGAAGGCTTGGATCGCCACAGGCTGGTTCACAAATCGCTTGCCCAACTGGAAATTGTGTTGGGATAACTTTGTTCCTAAGTGTGACCGTTGTGCAGCTGCTGCTGGTGTTCCTGTATTCTTTCTTCAAGTGAGTAAAATTTGGAAAGTACACTCTTAACAAAGTAAAACTAAAGTTGGCTTATTATTTCAGAAGCCGCAGTGAAGCTCAAGCGAAGAAGTTCTACTAAGCCAAATTCAACAATAATAGGAAATTATGTGGAACGATTGAGTCAATTTTCTTTCTGCATGTAAATCGTTTGTAATGTCTATCATCTTTTTAATTCGATTAAGTTGAAATGAAGTGTTCCATAAACTTCTCTACAACATTCAGTAAAAAAAAAAAAAAA